TGAAGTTTAATGTAATGTGAAATATGATCGTGAATAATGAATTCAAGGAGCTTAGAGAAGTTGTTAAGAAGGGTAATGGGTCTGTAGTTACTCACACAGGCAGGATTGCCTCTTTTGAATACAGGCACAATAGTTTCTTCCTTCCATGCAGTAGGGAATTGCTGCTGAGACAGGCTCAAATTGAATATATGCCTAAGTACAGGAATAAAAATTGCCGAACAGCCTTTTATGACAAACCCCAGGATATCATCCGGTCTGACACATTTAGAGGGTTTTAGTCCCTTAATGGTCTTGTTGACATCCGCATCAGAAATAGGTGCAAGAGACAGGAATTCAGTAGGTTGCGAAAGAGGGGGAAGGTCTATAGGACAATGGGTATTATAGAGGGATTGAAAATGTTTGGCAAAGGTATCAGCCACTGCAGTAGGTTCATCTAAGTGTACACCATCAACTTGAAGCTGAATGCAACCTAAAGTATGTTTCCTGAAAGAAGACACGTATTTCCAGAGATGATGAGGTTGTGATTTCAGGTCATTATCTATTGACTTCAGCCATCGAAGCCTGTCAGTTTTGATAGAGCTTTTAACAGGCTTACGATAGAAAATGAATTTGTCATAATAGTAATCAGTTTGTTTCTTTTTAAAGCGACGGTGAAAGTAATTTTTCTTACCAATGTAGTACCTTAAGGAACTAGAGTACCAGAAAGGGAATTTAGATTTGCGAGTAGGGCAACGAGGAATTGCGTCTTCCACGGCAGCTTGAACAGTAGCATTTAGGCTGGCAACTGCATCATCAGCGGAAGTAGCTCTATATACTCCTGACCAATCACATGCAGATAGGGTGTTGTAAAGCAAAGTATAATTGCCGGCGGTGAATTTTCGATGGCTGAATTTATAATCAGGATTATAGGTAATACGTGGAAGGTGGACATCAATAATTAAGGGAGGGTGATATGGATCAGGCTTGACCAAATCAGAGTAAGAAGGACCAGGCTTTAGATCGGTGAGATTAGAGAAGACTAAGTCAAGTAAGTTATGGTTGTCAACAGCTACAGCACACTGCCGAAGGCCAAGGAGACATGCGGAGGTGTATATAGCATCCCCCTTAAGTTTAGTGTAGTAGTGACAGTTGGGCAGAGGTGACCCACGTATCCAGTTAAAACCAGGAACATTGAAGTCCCCTAATAAAACGACACGAAAGCAATTGGTGTCAAGCTTGTTTTCAAGAAGTTGAAAATAATTAATAATGACTCCCGGTGGAGTGTCAGGAGAGAAATAGTGGTTGCCAATAAGCAAATTGTGGCTGTCAACTGTGGGAATCTCAACCCAAACACATTCAGAGCAGAGTTCTAAATCATACCTGCGCCTGCAGGAACCCAAGCTGGAGGGAATGGCTGTTAAGACACCACCACCACAAGCTTTGCTGGTGGATACCTGGTCAGACCGGTAAACGGTATATCTACTAGGAAATATATTGCAATCATAGTACGAATCGTTAAGCCAAGTCTCAGTCAGACAAATAATGTCAAAATCTGTGGAACAAACATTATCATAAAATTCAACATATTTCATCCGGAGTCCTCTTACATTTTGATAATATATTCCGAGACAGCTGGCAGACTTAGAACGAGATATGACCAAACCATCCATGCTAGAGTCGTTATAATCAGCCATGATTAGATGGATGTCGAGCAGCCTCCATCTACCTCGTCGTTAACTGCTGGGTTAACGGCAGATTTAACGGAAGCATCAGACACTCCAGCTTCAGATGTGCTGGGGGTAAATACTTGGTCAGGCGCAAGCTTACCATAATACGGGGCAATTAAGCATCCTGATGGCCAGACACCAACGTCATTGATTAGCGAAAATTCATCCTCAGTAACAGCGATATGGAAGGATGCATAAGTGTTAAATTTAGTTCTAAGTCTG